TCTTCTATATTCATAATCACTGCAGCCACTGCTTTCAGGCAAGTGGGCCATCCCTTGCTTACTTCATCCAGCTGTTTGGAGAAATAAGCTACAGCTCTTTTGTATGGTCCCAACTGCTGTACCAAGACCCCTAGAGCCATCCCCTGCCGTTCATGAGAGAACAGCCAGAATGGTTTTGTTACATCAGGCAGGCCCAATGCTGGGGCCTTCATAAGTTCTTGTTTCAGTCTTTTAAAGGCTGTTTCTGCCTCGGGAGTCCAAACTAGAATGCTTTTGGTTTCTTTCAGCAAGTCATACGGAGGTTTGGCAAGTATCCCATATTGATATATCCACTAACAGCACCAACCTGTCATTCCTAGGAAGGCTCATAGATCTCTCACCATTTCTGGTCTGTGCATCTGGCAAATGGCTTCTTTCCTTGTTGTTCCTAAGGATCGTTGTCCTCTGGAGATTTCGTATCCTAGGTACACACCACTTTTTCTTGCACCAGCTGCACTTTCTGTTGGGAGACTCGATATCCGTTTAAACCCAAGAAATTTAATAGAGAAATTGTCCATTTTACGCACTCTTCTTCTGTTTCAGTTGCTATTAGTAAATCATCTACATATTGCAGAAGAACGCCATCTTCCCGTTGCCGTTCCCATTGTTCCAATTCTTTGGCTAATTGATCTCCAGATAGGGTGGGGTTATTTCTATACCCCTGGGGTAAGACTGTCCAGGCTAGCTCCTTTTCTCTCTTTGCTAACAGATTCCCATTTAAAGGTATTTCATTTATAGCTAAGTCCCATTTGGTTTCTTGACTGGCAAAATTAGTACCAATAACCTCAATTTAAAAAATTTTCTCTATTATCAGTTCAATTTCCTTCCTATACTCTAACCTCAGTGGATATTGTTCTCTAATTACTGGTTTTGCTCCTGGTAATAACTCAATTTGAATGGGGGTTGCCTGTTTCGATCTCCCAGGTATGTCGGTGGCCCGTACCAAGGGGTATACTTCACTTAGGATTCGGTCAATATTTTGACTGCTATGTTAATTCCCATTTGTTTTTCAATTTTATATTTAAGGGGTTTCAGAAAGAAAGCTTTTTCTGACTGGCCTGTTACTCCCACGACTTGTACAAATTCATCACTCTTAGGCACTAGCTCTTGATTTAAAACTGAGAATGTAGCTCTAGTGTCAATTAGAAAGTACATCACTTCATCCCACTTTTGCAATCTATGAAGGAACAATATGAGTTGTAAGATTGTGTTATAATTAATGCTTCCGGGAGGCCACTTTTCCCCGTTATCTAGAGTGTACAATGGCCACCAGTCTTGGCAATATTTCAATAATGTTCTTTTATTTAAGTTTCCCCCTGGAATTCCACCCAATTCTTTCCAGTGTTTCAGAATACATCCTAAGGGGGTTTTTAAGTTTACTTTCTTACTTTGTTGGCTTCCCATTATTATATGAGCTTAATATGTAACTTTGTGCTCTGTTTTCAAGCAAGGGTGCTTTAGTCAATAATCATTATAGATACTTATCTGGGGGTTGCGTGATATCGCTCTTTACTTGGGCGTCAGTAAGATACCACCCTGTATAAGGATCGAAAGCCCACACAGGTTCCCAGCTATTAAAGTCTTGGATTACGAAATAATCGTACCCCTTGTATTCTAGGTGCCTTTTGAATTTATTTAATACCTCTTGTAATTCCTCAAGTGCTCCACTCCATTGGATTTCTTGTTCTAGCCTTGCCTTTACTAAATCCCAATCTGCACTTCTATTTGAGTTGGTTTCTTATGAATTTGACCCTCACCAGATCGTCCAACCATCCAAGCGGTCAGTAATATACCAACTGACCCAGGGATCATGTCCCAAACCGGTTTCCAGTTGCAAATACTCTGGATCACTAGAGGGTCGTACTCTAATTCGTCTCTCTTCTGAACTAATTGTCTTACAAACTCACTTAGATGACATACTATTACATCAAACAAAAATCTGTTCCACCGTCTTAAAATATTTCTTACTTTGTTCCAGCACTTCATGCATACAATATCCAGCCGCTTCGTCCGTTTCTGGCCGGTCTCCTCGTGGAGAACACGGAACCGCAGAGCGGGACTCCTCACTCGCTTCGCAGCGATACTGCGTCTCAGAAACACACATACACTTGCACACTTGTTAAGTTCTTTAAAGTTTTCTATTTTATAAATTTTACACGTTCCAGTTGCATTATAACTTAAGGTCACACGATGTCGCTGTAGATCACAAAATGTATATTCTGCTCTTAATTTGAGCAAAAAAAATTATGTACTTATCTGCTGTTTGGCAATAACATTCGCTCCCTTGGTCTTTTCTAAGCTCTAATTATCACCGCACTTTAAAGTTTCAAACGGTGTGGTAGAGTTTCTGTTACTCGTTCGGGATTACCGAGGTTATTTTCCATAAACAATCAAACAAACCACGATTTTAGAACTAAGCAGCATGTAAAACAAAAGCAGCATGTAATGTAGCAGCATGTGAAATGAAACATTACAAAGAGACCCACAGTACGTTATCTCTAGCTACCGCATTCCAGGGATTCCTCAGTAGGACTAGAAGGCTCTTCTGGGTCCTAAAGCCCCTTGCCTCAAGAAAACCAAAAGGAAACACTCCCAAATCTTAAGACAGTTCAAAAGGAACCTTAAGGATTATTAGTCTCCCAAGTCAAACACAACTTTAAACATATTATAGGACAATATTCCACACAAAACAGAAAGTGAACGAAACAACACAGAACAAAAGCACTTTTAAGAAACGTATTGACAATACACGAAAGCACAAAAGCGAACAAAAACAACACGGAGCAGAAGCGCGTTTTACACTACAGTGGTGGGACTTTAACCCACTGTAAGACTCCTGTGGGACTTTAACCCACTACCTTAAGTACTTGTGGGACTCAAACCCACTGTGGGACTTGAACCCACAACCTTGGGGCAAATGCGGGGTGTCCCCCAGCTCCCCTTCGAGCGACAGCGTCCTGCCCTCGTTAGCCAAAGTGCTTTTTCCTATAAGTTAAATATACGAATATATAAATACCTTTTAAGTTTAGCAGGAGGTCCTTGTCCACCCGTGTGTGAAGCCGAGGGGGTAGGGGAGACTCAGCGACGGAAGATCCAGTTGGGGCTCCCCAAGGGTCCCCAAGCCCCAGGATTCCAGCACCGGTGGAACGGGTCTCCTGCCTGGCTCGCCAAAATGATGCCCAAAAAGGCGCAATGGAACTGCTCAGAGACAGAATTTGGTCTTTAAGCAGCAAGATATTTATTTCAGGCAACATTGGGGAACTCCCAGCTCATGCTGGACAAAGAGTTCCGAAGCAATCAGTGAAAACTTAGACTATTTATACAATTTTTGCGAGAGATTACATCATGTTTACATGCATATTCATATTATTGCAACATCTAGTTATAATATTCATAGCAGGTGGAGTTAGGGCAGAGTCAGGGGCGAGGTCATCATTTTGGGGAGAATCTCGGTGGTACTTCCTGTTACTTCAGCCTCAGGAGTCGTCTTTTTGCTCTTCTCCCTCAGGTAAACTTTTGAACTTTCCTTAATTCTGCTGACTCCAACGTGTATTTGGCAGGAGTTTCTTGACTTTGGCCCTTCTCTTTCCCCTTATCTCTCCGTGTTCCTTCCTTGTGTCTATTTATGTATGTGTGTTAGCATTTTTGGTGCTCTTTATTTCCCTGTGCTCTTACTTTATGTTCTTTTGTGTCAGTGTGTCAGCATTCTTTGGTAAAGTGTTATCTTCTGCTAGTCCTTGAATCTTGGTTCTTTATTTCTTTGCTCAGAGCATGCATTCTGAGTTAGCTCTTCAGGCCTTGCTCTGTTTCAGATGAATCATAGAATCATAGAATCAGCTTGGTTGGAAGGGACCTCCGAGATCATCAAGTCCAACCCTTGATCCACTACCGCTGCGGTTGCTAGACCATGACACTAAGTGCCACATCCAGTCTTCTCTTAAAAACCTCCAGGGACGGAGAATCCACCACTTCCCTGGAAGACGTTGAATAGCACTGGTCCCAATACAGATCCCTGAGGGACACCACTTGTCACTGATGTCCATCAGGACTCTGAGCCGTTGACCACTACCCTCTGGATGTGACCATCCAACCGATTCCTTATCTGCCGAACAGTCTGCCTATCAAATCCTTGTCTCTCCAATTTAGAGAGGATGTTGTGGGGGACCATGTCAAAGACCTTTACAGAAGTCCAGATAAATGACATCTGTAGCCCTTCCCTTGTCCACTGATGTAGTCACTCCATGACAGAAGGTCACTAGGCTGGTTAGGCAGGACTTGCCCTTGGTGAAGCCGTGCTGGCTCTCTCGAAACACCTCCCTGTCCTCCATGTGCCTTAGCATAGCTTCTCAGAGGATCTGTTCCAGGATCTTCCCAGGCACAGAGGTGAGGCTGACAGGTCGGTAGTTCCCAGGGTCCTCCTGGGATGAAGAAAGTTCATACAAATTAATACTATAAAGACTGATACAATAGTCAGGGAATAAAATTTTCCAACACTGTCTTACATTCTCTTTCAGGGTTTTTCTTCTGCTTTGCCATGCCTGGGCCATTTTATGTTACCTGTAGGAAAATATTTTTCTTCCAGTTCCTCAGTATCTGTGTCTGTTACACTTGTGAGGACATTTTTTAAACAATATTCTTATATCTTTTTTGTTCTATTTTATCAATAGAAGGTTTTTATTTTTTTCATTATTTAATTAGTTACTATTTTGGAGACACATAATAAGTTGCATATAACTACTTTTTTCCAGATCAACATGATAAAAAAAAAAGATTCATAGTAACTTTACAGCTACATCAACATCTTAAACTTGCAGGCACAATCCGAGTTATTAAGCCCTTGCTGCTTCCTGACAAGAAACAAATGGGTTAGTTTAGAGGAGATGATATTAAACTTGCTTTCATTATTTCTTTTTTTATTAAAAGCCTCGTCACTCTACTTTTGTGTATGGTTTGGTTTTTAGACTGAATCTGGCTATGCATCAGAGTCAAGTTTGCGACGCCATGGCTCCATGGTGTCTCTTGTTTCTGGAGCAAGTGGATACTCTGCAACATCCACCTCTTCATTCAAGGTTAGTGAATAACATTTTCTTAGTATTGGTGTGTAAATAACACACACAACTGGAAAGTAAATAAACTATGTGAAGACTTATTCACACAATTATTGGAAAAAACCCAACAAATCTTTAGTTTGTTATAAGTGTTAGTAATTCAGCATGTGATGATGAACAGATTGTACAGGAACCTTTTTCATGCCTCTATGCAGTTGTCCCTCTTAAACTATGCTGTCATTTTCAAATCAAACCTGTGGGAGGATTTATTAGCCTTTCTTAGCATACTTCTGAGAATATAAGGACTTCTAAATGAAAGGAAATGCTGATTCTGTGACTTAAAAAATTTGCTTAATAGTGATCGACAAATAACAGCTTTGTTTCATATGTATTAATATTTAACATTTGAAATTGGATGGGCTGTACTTCTGTGAGAGCAGAAGAGGAGCAGCACAAGAAAGGGGAGAGTAAAGATTAGAACTAGAACTGACTGTTTTCAGGCAAATAGGTGTAAACCTGGTAGTATGCAAGATTGTTTTTAATAAACTTTTATTGAATGCTCTAAAGTAGCAGATGCAGTCAAGAGGAAAAATTAAGACCAGTGGACAAAATGAGTCAGAAACACTTTTATATGGTGTCTTATGTTCTAACATTAACAGTATTTCATAGCTGCTGATATCTGAAATTTCTTTGGTGTACCTAAAAAGAATTTGTTCTTCATAATTGCAGAAATACTTTTTTTTTTTCATTGAACTATTGCTGAGTCTGTAGAAGCATTTGAGCCTTTTTCGCTTGTATTTTCAGAAGGGCCATAGCTTACACGAGAAGCTTGCAGAAATGGAAACCTTTAGAGACATCTTGTGTAGACAAGTTGATACTTTACAGAAATACTTTGATGCCTGTGCAGATGCAGTTTCCAAAGATGAACTCCAGAGGGATAAAGGTAACACTGGAATTGAAAACTCTTATATCCATAGAATTTATCTTTTTACACAGTAATAGCCTTTGAAATAGTTACTATAGCATTTGATACCATATAAATGAAATAGGTATATTAAATTTACTCTTTACTAATGGGATCAATCATAGATATTTCTGCATAAACAGTGTTAACTATTTTCACTTCAGAAGTTGGATTCCCATAAAAATCTACTTAACTTAAATATTAACCCCTAGCTGTCAACTGTATAAATGTTCTTTTAAGCATTTGATGTTATAGAACAATAATTGTTTACCCCATAAGATGAATTCAAGTTAGTTTACTGCTGTGTCTCTGTCATGGTTTAACCCCAGCTGGCAACCAAGTACCATGCATCTATTTGCTCGCTTTACCTTCCCCGCCGATGGTATGGGGAGGAGAATCAGGACAGAAAAGAAAATAGAACTCCTGGGTTGAGATAAGAACAGTTTATTTGAAACAAAGTAAAAGATAATAATAATTGTAATAAGAAGGAGAGGGAGATAAAACCCAAGAAAGACAAGTGATGCACAATACAATTGCTCACCACCCACTGACCAATGCCCAGCCCGTTCCCAAGCCGCATTCAACCCCTGCTTCTAGGTAACTCCCCTCAGTTTATATACTGAGCATAACATTCTATGGTATGGAATATCCCTTTGGCCATTCAGGTCAACTGTCCCAGCTATGCTCCCTCCCATCTTTTTGTGCACCTCCTCACTGGCTGAGCATGAGACACCAAAAAGTCCTTGACTTAGAGTAAGCACTACTTAGCAACAACCAAAACATCAGTGTGTTATCAACGTTATTCTCATACTGAATCCAAAACACAGCACTGTACTGAGAAGAAAATGAGCTCTATCCCAGCTGAAACCATGAATCTCTTATCTTTATTTTGAAAAACAATAGCATATTAGGTTTGATAGGAACAATAAATTCTTTTAAAAAGGCAAAAGTTCTGCCATAATGAATGCTCCTGACATGTATTGGCTGTAGCTAGAGCACTGAGTGCACACTTGAAGTCCTAGTAGACTCAGGTGTGGATGTCTACATATCTCTGAATTGTTCTTCCCAGATCATGCACTCTCCCAAAGCATTTATATTCATTCCCACGTTTGTTCTGGCAGCCTGAAACTTTTGATAGTGAGAAAACAATAGATAATTACCATTCCACTTATTTGAGAACTTTCTAGTGTAAGAGTAGATAGTTGCTCAATTGTGGCTCCCTGCTTATCCAGTTGTAACACCAACATAATGTTCTTCTTACCATCGAATCAAGTGCTAAATTTTGATACTGAGCAAATGTTAGTCTCCTGATGGTTTCTGACAGTAATGCTGATAGTGGTCAGAAAAAAAGAGGAGAGGGTGTGTGCCACGACTGTTATAGGAAAAAAAATCTTAAATGCTGCTTAGCCATGAAGATGCTCTTAAATCTTTCTTGCACACTAAAGAATTGGGAAAGCTTTCTCACTCCCATAACACACACTTTCTCACATTTAGTGGTAGAAGATGATGAAGATGATTTCCCTGTGATGCGTTCCGATGGGGATGTTTTACATAACAGTAACAGCAGTAAGGAAAAATGTAAGTGTGTCAACTTTTTCACTGACAATTCATATGAATGGTATGATAAGCCTGATACAAGATGGGTATTTATGTTCTTTTCTAAGCAGAAAATTACAAGAATAGTTATTTGAATGTATGTGACAGGAAGTTTTTATTCATGTTAAGATAATCATGAAAAGCAGCTAAGGAATTATATAATCTGAGTTATTCTTAATTCACACAAATATTAATGCAAGACTGTTAAGATGGAGTTTCCTATTCTATGTCCAAAGCCATTTCCACTACAAAATTCTGTTGAAACAGCTGCATCATTTGTATATTGGGAACTGAGATTTGTAACAGGCGATTGCAGTTTTTCTTGCAAGTATTACCTGCTTTAGGAGTGTAGTGAAGCACAATGCTTTTCCAGTTAGGTGTGCCCCATTATGGTTTTTCTAAGTTCTATGGCTATGTAATGATTAAGTCAACATTGTTACTGGATCTCATTCATCACACTTTTGGTACTTTTTAAAACTGTATTTTTCAATGTTATGCTGAACAGAATTCTGATTTTTATTCTTATCTTAAATGATCTGTTTATAGTCATTGTACTTACTGCATCCATTCAGTAAATGTGAATTCCTCACACAAGTCTTGCTTTTTTAGAAATCTGATACTTCTGGCCTGCCAGAAGTTGTGTATGCATTTAAAAAATCTATTTATATTCTTCTTATACTTTCTCTTGTTTCCTGACTGAAATTATTTCCGTATTTGCATTCTATAATTGTTGACAATTCAGTATTTGTTAGACTTTGATTCACAAAACTTTGAAGCAGTACAGTTTCAAATCTGATGTAATCTCCAAAAGAAGTACTTACCAAAAGCATTTTTTAAAATTGTAGACACTTTCTTCAAGAATATGAAAAATATATGTGCAAAATAAGCCTTTTCTGTCTTCTGTTTTCTTTTATCTGGCTCTAGTTCCCCATGTATTGCATGTTTCCTTGCTGTATTTAAGTGCTCTTTCTAGATTATTGCCAAAACTCTTATGAGGAAAGGAATTGGAAGGAGTTTCAGTATACTTCCAGAAAATTAATCATATGAGTAGATTTTTTTCCAATGATAAAAAGTGCATGCTCTGCTAAGGATTAATTGTAGTGCTGATTTCAGAGGTTAAGTAGTGTATAACTGAAGTTTTCAATAAATCAGCAAAGATAAACAAGCTTGCAACACTCACCTGTAAGCAAGTCCACAGTTCCACTAATCCTATTTAATATATAAAAGTATATATAAAAGTATACATTTCTGAGGACTGTTAAGTCAGAACAAACTTTAGAAAACTGAAAAAAAAACCCTTTTTAAAAAAATTTTAAGTGAGAATTTAATTTCACTCCATGATTCATTTTAAAAAGATGACTTTGTCAAACTTAATTTTTGTAGAATGATATAGGAGTTTTAGCTTAATTTACCTTTAGAACATTTCTTCATATCTAAGTTCTTCTGATGCATCCACTATATATACACACATTCATTATGTGGAATGTCATTAGGAAAATCCGTATTTTTAGTACATCTGGTCATTTTAGAACATTTAAATACAAAGTGACTTCATTTATATTTTACTTCATGTGTTTAACAGGAATTTGAAGTGATACATTTCTCTTGTAAAAAGAAATTGCTATGTATTATGGGTGCATGTATATAAACTCACTTACTAGAGCTCACTACAGAAAATAATTTCTGCAACCTTTTGCTTTCTGCAAAACATCTAATTCCAGTTCCTTTGTCGATCTCACCAAGACTTTTGATACTGTGAGCAGAAAAGGTCTGTGGCAGATTTTGGAACGTTTAGGTTGTCCCCCCAAGTTCCTTAAAATAATCATCTCACTCCACGAGGATCAGCATGGCCAAGTCAGATATGGTAACACACTTTCTGAGCCCTTTCTAATAAAGAATGGCGTGAAACAAGGCTGCGTTCTTGCTCCAACCCTTTTCACAGTCTTTTTCAGCATGATGCTCCAAAGGGCCATGGCAGACCTCGATGATCCGGACGGTATCTACATTCGATATCGTACTGATGGAAGCCTATTCAACCTAAGGCGACTGAAGGCCCACACCAAGACCTTAAACCATCTTGTCCAGGAGCTGCTCTATGCTGATGACGCTGCCCTTGTTGCCCATACAGAAGCAGCCCTGCAGCGTTAAACATCCTGCTTTGCAGATGCTGCTGAGCTCTTTGGGCTGGAAGTCAGCTTAAAGAAGACAGAAGTTCTCCATCAACCTGCACCTCAGGAAGTCCCCCATCATCCCCACATCACCATTGGCCAATCAGAGCTCAAATCAGTCCAGCAGTTTAATTACCTAGGCAACTTCATCTCCTCGGATGGCGAGATTGACGGGGAGATAGACAACAGGTTAGCAAAGGCATATAGTGCTTTCGGAAAGCTTCATAAAAGAGTTTGACGAAATAAACACCTGTAGAAAAGTACAAAGATCAGTGTTTACAGAGCCATAATGCTGTCTACTCTCTTATACAGATCTCTCTTATACAGATCTGAATCACGCTTCCATCAACGCTGCCTCCGTACAATCCTAAACATCCACTGGTCAGATTATGTGACCAATACATCTGTTCTAGAACAAGCAGCAGTCACAAGTATTGAGGCCATGTTACTGAGAACACAGCTGCGTTGGGCAGGGCACGTCTCAAGGATGAAGGACCACCGCCTCCCTAAGATCATACTTTATGGTGAACTTGCCACTGGCTGCCGCAAGAGAGGAGCCCCAAAGAAAAGATACAAGGACTCCATGAAACAACATCTCAGCCTTGGCCATATTGATTATCATAACTGGTCTACTCTGGCCTCCAATCGGGAGGCCTGGAGACACACCATCTATAATGCTACTGATGCTTTTAAGAACACACGCAGGATCACCCTTGAGGAGAAAAGACAACGCAGAAAGAATCGTGCCTTGCAGAATATACCATCTAAGGAGTCTTTCTGCTGTGCCTTTTGCAACCGGACTTGCCTATCTCGTATTGGCCTTTTTAGCCACCAAGGCGCTTGTAACAAACGTGGGTAGAACCCTTCCCAAATCTTCGTTCGCAAAGCCTAGTCATGATGATGATGATGAATCCTGGTTCCATTAAATTTACTTTCCATCAGTTATTTCTACTAAGTCTTATCTTAATTTTAGTTTTTCTGTGTCTCTGATTTCTGAGGGCTAAATCCATTAAAGATTTAGTAGCTGAGTGGTGCAAAGCTTGATTAGAAATGAGAAATTAAACTAAGGTGGAATCATAACTGATGCAGTGGGAGAAGTAGGTGTCTCAAGTTGAAACACCCATGACTGTGTATTGAACAGAAAACTACTCTGACTAACTGATAATGAAAGATTTATCTTAAACTTCACCCTTTTCTTAAGCTTTGACTCAGAGCAGCTGTTAAGATTCTTCAGTTTCTGAAGTTTCAGGTTCCCTTCCTGATGTCTCTGAAATGACAGGAACAATCTTTATAACTGTAGCTTAAAAATGGTTGCCTGTCTGTTCTAAACATGGAGCTATTGTGCAGTCACTGCTCCAGGAAGTGGGAAGCACAGATTCAACCTCTTATTTAGCCTACTATGATAAGGAGGAGCGTTTGAGCCTACTGTTCAAACCACTAGCGCACCAATCTAGTACTCAAATCACTACATTTAAGAGTGATTTAAGGGGCCATACTCCCATTGTCTTTAGAAATTCATTCCCTTCTGCACCTTCCCTGGGTAGGAGGAGAAAGTTAGCATGACTGTAGAGATTTGTGTACTGCTCTGAAGATGATATTTTGGATAGGCTTTTTCTTTTCTGTGTTCTCTAGGATCTCTGAGTGAAAGTTAAAACGAGCACTATGAAGGTAATAAAATTTATTGCTCACTTTCCAATTAGAAAATCTGGTAACTGAAACGATGATTTGTATAAAGCACCAAGGGAGAGCCTGGCTGATGCATATTTACTCAGATCTTTGAATATAAGAATGTAGAATATTGATCAGGAAGCATTACCATTCATCTGCTCAGGAAAATGAGTGTATTTGGGTTTAAATTATGTAAGAATAAGAGCAGCAGGTGACACTTACTTAAGGGAACCTCTTTGAAGACAGAATGTGGTTTTGTACTGAAACTAAAAAGATGGAAATGGTACAGAGGCTGAAAGAAATTTGATATAAAACACAGTCGGATTTGCAGTGGATTTTAATGCTTTGAATGGAGGAAGAATATTCACCAATATATTGCTGAAATAATGAGGGGGTTTTTTTGCTTTATTTTTTTTTGTTTTTGTTTTTTTTAGAGGAACACTAATTATATTTATACTATTGCTATCCACAGAATATAAAAAAACAGTAGGTATCAATAAATGGGTTGTGCCCTAAATCATTTCTCTTTCATTTAGAATTAGTTTAGTGACATAAGATGTTGGTTCGGCCCCCCCGCTGGAAGTGCGCAGGGCCACCGCCCCCCCCACCATCCCCCCAGCAGGGGAAAGGAGAGAGGGAGCTTCACCAGCGTGGTTTTGTACCCTCCTGTGAAAGGAGAGTGGAAGCCTCGGGGCAAGCAGAGGTTTACCGGTCTGGTTTGGGGGAGGGGGGGGAGGGGAAGGGTACCAGGCGGACCGTGGGGATCCTCGGACTGGAGGGTGGGCAGGTAAGCAGTGCATGGGAAGATACGAGGTTACACGGTGGGGGGAGGATAAGGTCAGGGTGGATAATCGTTTCCTCGGGGGGTTAGGGGTCTCGGCCGGGCTGGGGCCTGGAGAGGTACTCAAGCCGTAGGTGGGTACGGGGCCCGGAACGGTTCTGTTCGTTTGTTTGTTTTTGGCTCACCTGCGGCTACTGCCCAGGTTCGGTATGTTCTGGATATATTCATTACATCCTGAAAGGGTGGTCAGGACAAAGGGTTGATCCTGGGTGTTTCCCTGGGATTGAATATAGACAGGTGGTAGAAAAGCAGGAAGTGTAAGACTTGCCCTAATCGTTTTAATCGTAGGAATGTAGCCTGTGTAA